AGTTTTATGGTTCAGGTCTTATGGTTAAGTTTAATCAACTTCAGGTTGATTTTTGTGCATAGTGTAAGATTAGGGTTCAAGTTCATTCTTTTGCATATGGATATCCAGGTTTCCAGCACCATTTATTGAAGAGACTATCCTGTCCCCCATTGTATATTCTTACTGTCAAATATTAGTTGACTAATAGTATGACTAAAATATTAGAGATATTTCTGGGCTTTCTATTCTGTCCCATTGGTCTATGTGTCTGTTTTATGCAAGTACCACACTGTTATTACTATAGTTTTGTGGACCCTGAGATCTCTCTGTTAATGTATCTTACTAAATTAGTAGCTTAAGGGAGAAAAAACATCATATGACTATTCAATTAGATAAAATTTAATCTCTGTGGTAGCCTGCTTCTAAAATGGCTCCCAATAATTCAGTCATACAAAAAGCTCTTTAAAGAAATTAAGGGTGTGCCCCCCAGTTCTTCTCAATTGCACCACAGGCCTCTAGGAGGCTTAAGCACATTGCCCTTTAGCATCTCAGCAGAAGTCCAAAGCAAAGAATAGTTTATTTCAAAGAGATTTGTGGGTATAACTATTATCCAATCCAATGAACCCCAATGAGATTTACTAAAACCACACAGTTTTTGAGAAAAGTTTATCAGCAGCAACACTGTCATCTTGGATAAAAGAGATAGAAATAGTATAAAATGAAGATACACGGGATTCCCAAAATTCTTCTGGCAGAAAGTAAACTGATAAGACCACATAATTACAAAACCTGTGCACTTGTCACCAGGTTGTGCCACCACATCATTAATTCATCTTTAAACTTCTACTGACTTTCTTGTATTCTCTCCAAGACATCCCAGGACAAAAGCAGGCTCATCTTGTCCAAAAAAAGATGAAAATTCCAGGGATAGCTAAACCTGCAGGAAGGAATCAAGGGCCTTAACTAAGACACTGGTTTGTGCCACAAAGACCCGAAATGGCATCTGAAAACCCCCTCCCATGTGACCTTTTGAAAAACTTTTCTTCATGCCCAAGAGTAAAGATTTAACTTAAAATAAGACATGCGATGTATGGCCAGGCATGTTCCAAGCCTGTTTGGGAACAGCGCATGCTCCCTTGGAAACCCGAGAACTCTCCACCCCTAAATGCTCCTGCCCACCAACACTCTAAGACTTCCGGTTCCTTGGAACTGGGGAGAAGGGATTTTTAGAGCATGAGCTTATTTACCCTTCTCCATCCCTTGGCCAAAGAATAAAATTTCTGACTTGTTTTACAGAACACAGTCTTGTTCTATTGGTGTGAGCAACACCAGGCAGAAAGACGAGGATTTGGGGTCTTTGACCCACAGGGGTTAGTGACACCATCTTTCCTGGAAAAAGAAGGCTCACTCAAGAGCCCAGGGGGTAGAGCGAAGACTCACGGAGAACAATCCCTAGAATTACCCCTAACTGATAGCACCAAAGGCAGTTTCCTTCTTCTATTTATGTAATTATTTCCCTTCCTTTTCTCATAAAAACTCCTTGCCTTAACCCTGAAATTGGGACACAAATTTGGGTTTCTGCCTCAATCTGTGCCCCTGGATCACAGTCTTTGTTACCTTTCACTTTGGCTTTTTAGGTTAACATTTTATACCCTAAAAGGTCAAACGTATCCCTGTTAAAACAGTGGTTTTTTTAAAAAAAAACACAACCACACATTATAATCCCAACCTCTTAAAAGTTTTATTATTTCTATAAATTTTAGAGGATGTTATAGTCATTTTTTTTTCTTTAGAAAACAAAACAGAAGTTTTGCAATTCTGTTTCACTTCAGTTTTGTTAAATCTAAGCAAAATTAAGTGTTGCCACAACCAGAGTCACCTCACTTCTAAGTATTTTTGACACCAAGGTTTCTTATGAGATTTCATTTGAAAAGAGTGTCCCACTAGTAATAAAAGTTTGAAGCAACTGGTCTATAGGATAAAATTCAAGGTCTTTAGCATAAAATACAAGGCCTTTCAAAGCCTGGCCCCCATCAACTCTCTCAGGTCTTGTTTCTCACTACTTCCTTTCTGGAAACGACCTCTCTAGCAACACCAAACTGCCTATATTCCTCATGAACACCACGATGTTTCTCATCTTTGTAAATTTGTCCATATTGTAACTTCCAAATAATTACTGCCTGGCTTTGTTTTATTTAATGTTTAACAAATATATTAAACTATGAGAAACAAATTCCACATTATGGGCCCTGGAGAGGCTAAGCTTGGGTGACTTCCAATACACATAGTGGGAGGGCAGAGTCCCCAGGTCAGGTATAACAGGGCAGTTGCTCCCTGGGTCTTTTTGTGGCCCCACGTTGGGCCAGGAGTCACACAACAAGAAGTTCTCCATCCCATCTCTTCTCTTAGGACAGTTGTAGAACTAGAGTTAGACACAGGCTGCTCTCAGGAGTAGTATCTCTTGATGGTTCATTTGGCTGAAGAAGGGAAAGACATTCTGGCCATTCAAGGAAGAACTACAGCACTCCAACCATGGGTCACCCAAAGAGCACAACATCCTGTAAGTCAAAACTGAATGATTTTCTCTTTATCTGTTAAACTACTCTTCCTTTAGGTCAATGGTTCTCAACAGCAGTGGGGAGAGGGATCATTTTCCCCCCAGGGGGCATTTGGCAATGTCTAGAAACATTTTTGGTTGTCATAACTTGGAGTGGCGGTTGTTAGTAGCATCTACTGAGTTAGGTCAGTGATGTGCTAGCCATCCCACAAAGCACACGGCAGCCCCCACAACAAAGAATTACTGGCCCCAAATGTCAACAGTGCCAAGGCTGTTGGCACTACTGATAAACGCTGCTATATTTCTCAGTTTGATACCATATCTTCCAGGAAAGCCTTCCTGAACAACCCAGACTGAGTTAGGTACCTCTTCTTGATTCCCATAGTACTTAGCATTGTATTGTATAGTCATGTGTCACTTAACGATGGGGATAAGTTTTTAGGTGATTTTGTCATAAAGTGTACTTCCACAAACCTAGATGGTATAGACTGCTAGGATTATGGTATAGCATGTTGCTCCTAGGCTACAAACCTGTACAGCATGTTACTGTAGTGAATACTTAAGGCAATTTTAACACAATGGTAAGTATTTGTGTATCTAAACATGTCTAAACATAGAAAAGGTATAGTAAAAATATAGTATAAAAGATTTTTTTAAAATGGTACAACTGTACAGGGCTCTTACCCAGAATGGAGCTTGCAGGACTAGAAGGTGCTGTGGGTGATCAGTGAGCGGGCGATGAGTGAATGTGAAGGCCTAGGACATTACAGTGCACTACAGTAGACTTTATAAACACTGCACACTTGGGTTATACTAAATTTATTTTTTAAATATTTTTATTTCTTCGGTAATAAATTAAAGTTAGCAGTAACATTTTTACTTTGTAAACTTTTTAATTTTTTTTAAACTTTCAACTTCTTTGTAATAATACTTAAAACACAAATACACTGTAACAGCATTATGACAGCTACAGCATCATGATGTGATAGGAATTTTTCAGCTCCATTATAATCTTATGGGACCACTGTCATAGAAGTGGTCCATCATTGACCAAAATGTCATTATGTGGCACATGACCAAAAATGAATCTGCATCATCCATCAGATCACGCGTGTCTTTCGGGCAGACACCTTAACATTCCTGGCACATAGTAGATACTCAGTAGAGTAGCAGAGACTGCTACCTGCCTATCCTAATATCCAACCTCTTCCTCTTAGATAAAAGAACACCAACTCTCATATGGGCGCAGGGTCACTTGGAATAAAGACTCCATTTCCCCGCTTTTATATGTGGCCATAAGACTAAGTTATGGCCAGTGGAATGCAAGAAGAAGGGGGCTACCTGCAAGCTTCTAGGAAATGTCCTAAAAAGTACTAAATGTCCATTCTTATTTGCCCACCCGTCCCCCAACCTGCTGCTTAGGACATAGATGATATGACTAGAGCTCCAACTTGGACCATTAAGGTGATGGAGCCAAAAGCGGAAGCAGCCTAAATGCTAGATGATTCTTCCAAACCAGCCTTGGTATGCCTTCTTCTATATAATAGTTGCTTAAAACGATTGTTACTTTGGATATCTATTTTTTTGCGAGGATACCTACTCTAAATTAACAGATGATCTAATACCCAACTTGTACTTTTTGCCATCAAGTGCCATTCTCTTCAAGAAAAGTGCGAACTGTGCTTCACTAACTTACGCTCTCGTTCTGCTCCTCACTCCTCACCAGCATGTTTTGAAATACTTTTTCCCTCTGCTGTTTTCCTCTTGCAACCTGCTTCACTGTCAGTTATATTCCTTGTTTATTCTGTTACCTTTCTCCAGCTAAGAGTTCTCAGCTACTTATCTCTTCAATTTGACTTCTAGAAGATGCACAGTGATTTCCATAACTCCCAATGCATTCCTCTTAGGTGTTATTTGATTAACAACTGGTTTTATAAAGTTAGATTTACTGCCTTCACAAAGGACAAGTAATCCAAAGTAAGCAGGCTTGTTCTCTGATAATTTTATAGGAAAAAAAGTAATATGTACCTTCATCTACACAAAAGCCAACTATCCTTTTTAACAAAAACATCTTGAGGTTGGAAATGAGAAGCCACTAAAATGGAATGATAGGCCTTAAAGCCTAAGGTCCATGAAAAAGGCCTTTCACTGCTATAAATTGAGTTTGCCTCCATCCAATGGATAAAAAGAACCACAATCCATAAATGAATGAATGAGTGAAGTAAATGAAAGATTCTATGATGAACTGGCTCTAGAATTTTTAAAAAATTCACTGATGAAGCTATATCTGTTCAAGAAAAGGCCTGTACTTTATACACACATTTATATATATATATATAGATATAGATATATATACACACACACACACATACACACACATATACATATATGTACATACACATACACATACATATCTTTATTAGCTGCATATAGGGTCAAAATAAAAAATATAACATCTACTCACTTGGACAGAGATACTCCCCCAGCTTTCCCAATCATCTCTTCATGGTGTAACACCGAGTGGTTCCAGGGAATATGGAGGAACTTTAAGAGTGTTCTCATCCACCGCTCAGGGTGTAAGACAAGCTGTTCATAGTGAACTAACATGCATTTTTTATAGCCAACCTCCATACACTGGTTATACATGGTTTCTATGGCACGATTCCACTTGGTCAAACAGTCCCTGTAGCTGTTCAGGTCAAATCCAGCTATAGTAACTTTTCGAGAAATCATTGAATGTACCGATGCCCGGCCATCTCGGACCATCAGGAGAAATTTGGCATTGGGAAATAACCTAGCAAGGTAAGTTAAGGACTTCAGGGCAAAAGGGTCTTTATTACATAAATAAGGAGCTGGCTCCCCGTGCTTAACAATGATTTCTAGTAAGAAGGCTTGCATGGCAGAATCCAGCACTTCGTCGGTGACTCCAGCCTCATCCAAGCGTATTTTCTCTTTACTCGACCGTGACCACATCTGCTTCAGGGCCAGGATTCGAGGGATGACCCTGGTTTCCTCTCCACAGCGAATATCAGGATGTGCATCTAACATGGCCCTCATAAGTGTGGTTCCACTCCGAGGCACACCTCCAATGAAAATTAAAGGCATATCTTTGTGATAGGCAAAGGTTTTGTTGGCTTTGACATCCAGGCTGGTTCGCACAGTCGTCTTTGTGCTCTCCAATTTGAGGGGCTGACTACGTTCCTCTATTCGGTGGTGGCATTCCATGGCGTGTTGGCCCAAGTAAAACACAGTCACAGAACTAATCACCAGACATGCCAATAGTAAGTTCTGCTTCAGTTTTCCAACCATCTTGATGTGGTTATCTTTTTTTATTAAACAGATATTTTGCTCCAAATGAGTTCCAGAAAATGTTCAGGCCATGGAGATTCTACTTCAGAAAGATGACCAACATCTAATAGGAAAAGGAAAAAGTTATTTTATCATCATTAAGACTGTTTACAAATTAGTCATCAGTTATCACTATAACATTTTAGCTAGAAAGAAGCTGAAGTTGTCTTAGATGCTTTGCTATTCCTAAAACACAAATATACAAAAATGCAAGCAAAAATAAATCAACATTTCCAATCAGAAACAGCTTCTTAATATAACAATTCTGAAGCTAGGCACAAAATGGAAAATTCAATAAAACTATTTCTATCAGTGAGCCAAGAGAATATTTAGTATGCCCAAGTATATCTGGAGTCTAACCCAAGGCTCATCTCTGGTATTTAAATTTGACTCATCCCCAAGAAGTCATTATCCCCACAATCTACTATAAAGAGAAATTACAGAAGTATACAACTTCTAAATCGCTAACATATATTCAGCTTATTCATCCGAAAATTATGTATTTCGGTACTACAGACCAGATACTTGGGCTTGCCTGAGGATAAACTTTGAAAAGGACAGCAGTGCAGTGACCCCTGCTCTCAGGAAACAAAACCTTGTGGACAGACAGATATGCAAACAATGACAATAAAATGTGATCAGGGGCTTAGTAGAAATAAGCACAGGGGACAATGGAAGTATAATACAAAAGAACAAATAAGTCTACCTGAGGAAGCTATAAAGGCCTTATAGAAAATAAGAGGGAGAGCTACTCTAGCCAATAGGAACTTGAGTGCAAAAGCACAATGGCATGACAGAATATGGCATAATTAGGTAACAAGTAGCAGGAGAGCTGGTGTGTAGGATGCAAAGAAGTGTGTGTGTGTGTGTGTGTGTGTGTGTGTGTCTGTTATCTAGCCTTCATAAGGACAGATAAGATTCAGACACACAGAGCATTCTAAGCTGAAATGACCAAAGATGTGGACATACAGAAGCAGAGCATATGTTTGTAAAACACATATACGACATAAAATATACATATTATGGAACTGCTAGTTTAACTGGAACAAGAAGACCTACTACAAAGCAGACAGCAATCAGACTACACAGAGACTAAAAAAATTTACCCTGAATCCTCAGAGAGCCAGTGGGATGGTAATTTTATGTGTCAACTTAGCTAGGCTATGGCACACAGTGTTTGGTCCAACACCAGTCGAGATGTTGCTGTGGAGGTATTTTTTGGATATAATTAACAATTAAATCAACAGACTTTGAATAAAGCAGATTACTCTCTATAATACAAGTGGGCCTCATCCAACAGTGGAAATCCTTAAGAGTAAAGACAGGTCCTGCAGAAAAAGGAATTCTCCTCAAGACTGCAACATAGAAAGTCCGCATGAGTTTCCAACCCGCTGCCCTGAGGAATTCGGACTCAAGGCTAACATCAACTCTTACCTGCCTCGCTGTTCTGTGGATTTTAGAAATGCCAGCACCACAACCACACAAACCAATTCCTTAAAAACTTCTCTCTCTCATAACACACACACACACACACACACACCCCCCGACTCACAGGAAGTATACCTGGGGGAAATGGCCAAAAGAATACATTCTGAGAGGCAAGACATCTAGCTATGGACTAGTGAGAAGATAAGCAATTCCTCCCAAAAATCCATTATAAAGTAGAGTGAAATTGACAGAGCAACCCTTTTACAGTCCTCTGGAAATCTACTAGAGGAATACAATAATCCAAGAAGCATTTACATTTTAAAAACTGCTTAAATGTTGGGTAAGAACAGTGAGAGTCTCTGGCATTCTTGCCTGAGACTATTCCATCTCACCACCCACCCATCCAGCAGGTACAGAGGTTCTGCAGGTCAGGGCAAGGCAGGGCAAACTATGAGGACTGGCAGCTTTGGTCAAAGGGAGATCACTCAATCTGGAGTGCTGTGCTGTGAGTGTAAGTGATGTTCCAGGTGGCAGGTGAGCAAAGAGGGTGAATAGCTCTAGAAGGCTAAGGTGGGAATCATGACTGACAAGCTTGTAGCCAACCCTGAGGCTGCACACAGGCAAAAAGGAGACATGAAGGGACTGAGTGGGAAGTAAATGTCAGGGCAGATTTGAAAATGGCCTAAACTTTGAATGTGCTCATCCACCCACATGCAAATCCATTGGCAGAGGACAAGTCTTACTGGTTCAAGATGTTTGAGCATAACCACTGATGTCTAAACTACACAGACAAGGAGGAAACCCTCAGAAAGCCATGTTTAAGAAAATAAACATAAAAACACGTGTGTGTGTTTGTGTCTGAGCAGCTACACTAGTATACATTTTTATGATACGTCCACACAAGGCAGATTTACAGAGACAAAAAGTAGGGGGTAGGAGCAGGAATTTAATGGCAAACAGGCATGAGGGGACTTTTTGCAGGGATGGAAATGTTCTAAACCTGGACTGTTGTGATAGTTGCAAAACTCTCTAAAATCTACTAGAAATCATTGAATTGTACCCTAATGGTGGTAAGTTTTATGACATATAAGTTACACCTCAATACAGCTGGTGGGGTTTTTTAAAGAATACATTCCTAGAAAAATATTTTGATAGTCTCAGTAGCATATACCAACCAAGATCTGGTTTTTGTTTACTGATGTATTCATTCCTTTAGTCACATATTTGAACACACATTATTGTGGCAGGCACTGTATATCATTTTAAAGCTACAACAAAGAACCACAAAGTGAGAATAGGTTGAGATTAAAAAATCAGCTTAATAAGAAAAGACTGCAGAGAAAAAAGCATTATGCTAGTTGGTAGCAATATAGCACTGAAATATCTATGCAGAAAACTGTATCCATGATATGGAAGACATACTTAAGATATTATACCAGATACAAAATATTCACCAGTCAAAAATTAACCTCTAAGTTACTATAGCAGCAACCAATAATATCTGATAACAATTTCCCATTAAAATACTCCAAATTCCCAGTAAAATACATAAAACACAAAAACTAGAAATATATGATCAATGTATTCCTTGTCCAGAAACATCCTTATAAATCACTTTAATGGCTGCATAATACTTTGCTGATAGGATCTACCAATGTTTATTTGGCCAATTCTCTATTATTATTTATTTGTTTTGAAATTTTCATGACTATAAACAACACTATGAGAAATATTCTTGTATATATAAACATCTTTGCACACATGATTATTTTCTTAACTAAATTTTTAGAAGTGGAACTGCTAGGTCAACGGGTATGGGGTGTGCTTGATTTTAAAGCACATATTTGATTCATCTCTTTCTCATAACCCACATTCATATCTGACCAAAAAAATTCTTTTGGCTCTACTTTCAAAACACAGTCCAGAACCTGACCACTTCTCAGCACTTCCATTAGCAATGCCAGCATCTCTCACAAGGATTACTGAAAGGAATCCTTACTTCTGTTCCCACCCTCCTAGAATCTACTCTCAAATTCAACAGCCAGAGGGATCTTTTTAAAATATCAGAACATATCATTGTTTTGCTCAAAGCCTGGTATTGTTTTTCAAATTGGTCTTGAAAAAGCTTCTTTTAAGACATCCAACACTAAATTTGTATTAAATTTCTGTCTCTTTTTCTTGATTTTCTCGATCTGTCAAGAAATCTCTATAGGCATCAAAGGTAGCACTGACTGAGGTCAGGCTAATGTATCATCATCCCAAAACAGTGTTTGTTGTTCAAAGTAAAGTAATTGAGAAGGCACCTCTTAACACTAGAGGTTTCATAAGAACTCTGATGAAGGCAACCCTCTCTTACTAAGGGATAAGCTCGGGGGAAAAGAACACCTTACCACATTTCTAAGCACACTTTATAGCTTTGTCAACACAATTTGGGGTTTTTTTTTCAAGTTTTCATATCTGTTGTATTTTAAATTAAATACTGTCTCCCACAACACACTTGGAGGGAAGGGGGGAGTATGTTCTACAGCCCTTCAAGATGTTTGAAAGCAAGTATGACAGTGGTCAAAGGCCTTGTAAGGGACACTAAAAAAGAGGAGGAAATTTGGGTTTCCCCAGAAACATGCATATTCCTTTTCACTAAGCTTAGGAAGCCTAATGTTCTCTCTTTGGATGTTTTCTTAACTCGGAGAATCACAGAATCCTAGATCATCAGTGCTAAGGGGACTTCCAAATCATTTTATAGACATATAAACTGAGGTTCTCCTCCCCACCACCCTAAATCTTACCTGTTCTTCAAAGGTCACACTTTTTTTATTGTGTATATATTACTTACTCCAAAAGATTTTAAGTTTCTGAAGCTCACAGATCTTGTCCATGTCCCCTACCACAGCATGTTTAACAGAACACCAGGTCACCAGTCCACTGAGCCTTCAAAGAGCATCAGCAAACTAACCAAACTGGGGAGTACATTCCTCTAGAAGACAGACACTGTGGAGCTTGTGGACTCTACCCACACCTTGATACTAATTCTCGGAATCTTGAAAAAATTAGCCCTGTAGCTTATGAAGTACTGTACAGGAAAAGCTGATCTGACCATTACCATTAAATATTCAACTACTATGCACATGCACGTGCGCACACACCACACACACACACACACACACACACACACGGGCCTCTTTCCATTACCTTAAACTCCATTTCACTGTATTTTCAGACAAGCAGTATCAATATTTTCTCAACTGGGACATTTACAGAGCTAAATGAGCTAGAAGGGAATACTATAAAGTTTAGTCTAGTTTTTATCTCCATGGGAAAGAAAAGGCATTGAAACACTGCAACAAACATATCTGAAAAATCACTATTAATAGTACTGCCCTTTCCCAGCAAGCCAAATGAAAGACTCCCAAAAATAATGCTCTACAGAAGAAGAGAGTGCTGACGTTATACTTCCATACTTACATCTTTGCAAATTTTACAAAGACTTCTAATAAAAAACAGCAGCACTCAATAAAAGTAGGGGCACATAGTCTGGTAGTCAGCGAGACCATGCCCAGCACTGAGTACACACACGCAGGCCCAGGCACATACACTCATGAGCTCATGCATCATGCTGTGCTTGTATAATCATGAAAGTAGCCATGTGCTAGGTCCAAGG